TCGGGTAGTGCCTCGACAACAGTCCTGTCTGTGACCAGTACTTCAACAAATTCTTCATTATCATCGGCGGCGATGTTGTCTGATTTGATCCCATGAGTGACAGCTTCAGTGGTAGTGTCGATGGCCTTCACGCCATTCACGTCCATAGAGAGCGAGTGACAAGTATTGTCGGTCAAGAGTTGACGGCAACCGTAATGAGTGTCGACATCGATGAACGCAATTTGTTTGTCCAGTTCTTTAGCGCACACGTAGTGCGAGATCTCATGAGCGCAAGTCTTCACATCATTTGCTGAACAGCAAAATCTTCGGTAACACTCTTCAGAGGCTGTGTTTGTGTCACACTTTGAGCTAATACTTCCGCTTTTGGACACTTCAGTGATATTGATGTGCCATTTGTCGAGGGATTGAATCCAACACACCATAAGATAATGCATTGCCATTTCCGTGGAACAGCTTTCGATCTTATGGGATGTCTCTTCAGCGTTAGCTCCGCTAACATTAGTAACCAAAAGTGTGGTCAATGCTAATAGGATTGCAACTAATCTGACCACTGAAGACATTTTACTTGAGTTTTGTGTATAATTTTCGTAATTTATAAATTATGTTACTTTTATCACTACTATTCGCTATGAGAAATAACTCGACTTAAAGTGAATGTTAAATATTTAGTTAAATAAGTATCAGATTTTGATGTGTGATATATAGTGTTACAAATAATTGTTGAGTTTAGAGTACAATTAATTGTATCTTATTATCTATTTCTTATACCTATTGATCAAATTATACCTTTACTAATGGGTTTTAATTTCACCAACTTTTTTTGTTGCCATAGGATTGTAATTACAAAATTTACTATTAGGTTCATTATTGAAATAAATATCAAATTAAAATTTTTTAACAAATAGTTTTCTAATAATCATTAAGAATAATTAAAATTACAATTAAAATCTTTTTATTTTAGAAAAACATTAACAATTATAATTTTTTAATAGTTTTATATTAGTTTTAATTAAATATTCACAGAATACAGTAAAACAATTAGGGTATTTAACAGTAATACACAAAATTTCAGTACAATATTAGAAATATAAAAAGTAATTTAGATATTAAAACAAATCATTTAAAACAATTACAGATTAATAAGTAATAAAATCATAAATATAATGTATTAATGACATTATTATTGATATATACCGGTATTTAAATAATATAAAAACAACATCAATTACAAATTCAATTGAAATTTTCAAATTGAGAAATAAGTTTGAGCTCATTATCACAAGTGGGCCAAATGATTGATGAATTGACCATGGATACTTTCACCTGAAAATCGCTTTCAATATCTGCGGTAAAGGCGCCGGTCTTTAAGAGCCAATCAAACACTTCATAATATCGGTGACAAACATCGGCGGAAGTCGTGTCCAATTTAGTGGTCAACAATTTAGTGAAATGAACCAAAAAGTTAACCTCTCGTTGAGTGTCTTGTATTTGTTGGGAAGTATTGTCGTAATGAATGGCCAAAAACTCCAAACACTTTCTCATTCGTAAGTAAAAAGCGGTGATTATCTTCTCAACTGAATTTATAAACTGAAGCCACTTTTGCATATCATTTCGTTGTATTGGACCGACAGCTTTCAGCAAAGCCTTCATCATTAAGACTTTGTTATGGATGGCAAACAATTGTCTCTTCGATCGGGCGTTTTCGCAATACATCACTTCCACACGAGTGTCACTCTCTAATTGATCCAACAGTTGTTTAACAATTGTCTCGATATATTCATCGGTGGCCGACAGGTCTCTAAGCTCTTTAATACTGGCGAACAGACTCTTCTGTTTCGGCAAATTCTGATCATTGAAACAGAGATCCTTTTTATTCAATTCAAACAATTCTGTGAATTGTTTTTGAATCAAATGATTGAATGTCTGGCACCGAGTGATCAGTGATTGACATTTCGGGCATCTCTTCAATATTTCTTCATTTTGTGTGTGTTTTGCGAACAAATTGTTCATAAGATTCACTTCAATAATGTGTTTGCAATCCTCTAATTGAATGAATTTCGATTCACTCATCTCTGATTCGGTCATACCTTCGATGCCATACAAGTAGTCATTCGCTCGCGATTTGTGGCAAATGAGACACAAATCGGGACATATTTCGCCGCAAAGACCTATGCATTTGTGGCCACATTTCAAGAGCTTCTTACAAGCCATCGGACAGTAGTCCCGATCGCACGGCTCGTAACACTTTTTGTTGCATTTCTTGTGCGGACACTTCCAGAGACACGCTTTCGGACACTGAATACAAGCCTGAGAGCAGATCTCAGCGCAGGACTGATGTCGGCAACGATTCCTACAGCTCTGATTACAAGGCGAACAGTTATCACCGCAAATACCCTGACATTTGTGGCCACAAGACAATAATCGCTCGCATTCTCGTTTACAAGTCATGTGTAGTCGGCTTTGACTGCAATTACCGCATAGATCTTGACAGAAGTGTCCGCAGACCAACATTTTTCCGCACACTTTATCGCATTCATCGGGCGATCGATCGGACTGTTGATCATAACACGGACTCAAACAGGTGTGACCGCAACCCAACACTACGGGCACTTGAATCCAACACTTCCACAGACTTACATCTGTCGAGCAATAGGTTTCGGCGAAGTGTTGGCCACAAGTCTTTGCTTTTTTAACCAAAACCTTACACTTGTCTTCAGCGCACTCTTCGCCACACTTGAGAAGGCAGTGGTGACCGCAGGACAGAGTTTTCTCGCATTTCAGATAACAGACGGGACTTTCAGAGCATCCGTACAATAATACGTGTCCGCATTCCTCCACAGTTTTGTCCACTTTAACCATACATTGAGTCTCGCAGTCTTCGCCACAC